TTTTTTGTTGTGGTAAAAGAAGAATTTCTCCTTCTTACCCCATGCATTTCGAATTGACATTGCTGGCAAGAAAATGCATGTACTTACTGCTCTCTCATTCAGTAGTCATGCACTAATTTTTATGGTTGTCTTGTCGGAAGGGATATGTGGGCTTTAATCTATTCATAAAAGTTTGGATTAATAAACGAGTATATGACGTCTGAATTCCCTCCTCTCAGTAATAAGCCGGGGTAAAGGGTGGTAAAAAGGTGTTCAACGGTAAGATTACCTTCATTTTTGCTTCAGAATATATAACATTGGCAGTGATTCCTAATTCTTCAGCTGTTTTATCCATCATGGCTTCCTCCAATCGTCTGCATAGCTGTCGAGCTTGCTCCAACTCGTCAGCTCTTTTATGCCTTCGCTCTATCTTCTGGTCTTCCTGAAGATACCTAGCTACAATGCTAAACCTCAACTTATGGGACCACTCTCAAAAGTGACAACAGAATAAGAAGTATTCAGTCTATTTACGTTGTAAACGTACATACACTTTTTACAAGCGTTTGGATAAGGCGATTCGCTGCCTGTAGATCATCAGGATTCGTACTTTTCAGCAATTCCTTCAGTATGCGCGATTTCTCTTCGTCCTCGAATGGAGCTAATTTGGGAGGATAAGCTGCAAATACACTTTATTTCACGAAATAAACTATGGTAACACGAGCGAGGATGTGTGTAATTGCACAAAAGCATAGCTAAACATGCAAAATTATGCAGTTCTGCTTGCCCTTAATTAGCATAAGGCTGGATCAGTACAAAAAACAAACAAATGGCTTTAAATAGACGTGGAAAAATTGGGCATGTTTAAAGTACAGCTGCACACAATTTTATTCTGTCCTCATAGCTGTGCGAAGATGTCGGGACCCTATCAAGGGATGAAGAAGAAAATGAAAGATAATGAATAAATCTATGACTCTTATCCCATTAACACCTGCAAGATTCAAAATCAAGAAATGCAAAAGTATAGCTAATTATCTCATTCCCAAAAGTAGAGATGTACTTGAACATTATTCACAGTCTTTTTTTATGGTATCTGTAAAGGACTTTTACGAACATTTCCCTTGGGTATAGCAAGCCCTTGCAATAATTCAGCAACGCAACTTTGAGAAAATGCAATGTTCGAGCAAGAATTCGATTCTATCTAAGCGTTGAGAAAAGGACAACTCACACTGAACAACCATTATTTCTTCCTCAGGAATGACAGGATCGGCTGTGATCAAATGATGCTCTCTTAGTGAATCGTAGACCTAGAAAAAATTCTATCAAGTGAGCTTTTCATAATAATGGAACATGTTTTAGTTTTTTTAGAGTTGTGTTCACTCCAACAGCTTTTGTGTATTTGCACTACTTTTGTATATGGAGAGCGATATCGGTACTATAAGCAAGCACAACAATATTATAAAATGTAACAGAAGATTGCACAAATTTGGAGTAAAATGATCGTGATTTTTGAATTCCAACTGTCATTTAGAACTTCAAAATGGTGCAATCACACAAAGCAAGGCGGTTGTTAAAATGAGGACTACTTATAATGCACAATGGAGATTAACCTCTTTGAATTTTTCCACGTGCCGCATCGATTTTTGCCAAGAATACAGCAGTTTTATTGCCAATTCCTTCACCTAAATGGAATAAGATAAAGCAATCTTTTTAACCCAAGCAGCCAGTTCCTAGCGATTGAATATAGAGCTGATTGTGATAACTTCTCTTACTACATATCTATCGTAACAACGTCGGAATCTTATAACTTAGCCCAAGAAATTCGAGAACAGTAGTTACCTCGGGAGAAGTTTGTGCTCCTAAATACTTCGGAGTGATCAGCTTGACAAGTTGATTCAAGAAACGAAATTTTCCCACTCGATTGTGCACTTTCTCTCCGCATTTGCGTACTAGCTGATCAACAGCCTGCAAATGAAAATGATAAAATAGTTTTCAAATACAAAGAAAAAAATGCCGGTTATGCGAGAAATTGAATTATTCAGGTGGCATCAAAGCAACTAGAATTTGCTGCAAATAGCAAGTGTTACTATCAGTAAATAGCTTATAGTTTGGTAGCTGGACCTAGCTAGTAATAGTGCGCTAATTG